GTATCCCAAAATTGTTGATTCCAATTCTCCGTTGGTTTTTTTGTCATGAGCAACTTCTCAAAAGCGGTTCAGCAGACGTTACTTACATCTCCGATACTCTCTGGTGTGAATGACAATGGCTTGACCCATAATTAATGACCCTTTTTCTAAGGAAGAACCCTGCGTAAAAGATGAAACATTTAGCTACTGAGTTCTCCGACATTTACCAGAGATGCTTGGAGCACTACAATTTAATGGAGAGGTGATCGCACTGCAAGAAAATGGCTCAGTTTTCTCAGAGATTTATTCTCTTTTTCAATTTTTGAGCAATTAAAAAGGAGTTTCAAGTTGAAAAAAAACGAGAATTCTTAGCAGCGTTTCCTTCTGCGTTTAATGAAGCACCTTAAGCGGCAAAAATTCTTTTTTTTGAAGGGAATGGTCGAGTCGCGAAACTATAGGCTCAGAGCTGGTTCCAGTGATCCTAATTTCAATTTTGGCCTCACAATAATTCAAGCCCCCCATATGGAAATATAGCTCTACATGATGGCAAGTCTGCGAGCAGCAGCGCCCTCCAGGATACCGGCATCTTTGGAGAGTCAACCACTGGTAATAATACGGAGACATGCTGCTATTTCTACACAGCCCTCTTTATTCGCCTACGATTTCGTTTCCCTTCCCACTTCTGGAACCATGTAACAGCTTCACCAATGCATCATTTACATCCAACAACAAGTTATACTTCATTCTGTGCTGTTTCTAAGGCATCTTTTCTCAGTACATTGCATAGTACGCATCTGTTCACTTTGGAAAAGCTTCTCGACAACGTTGAACTCAGTACATAACGCTATTTAGTTTAAGAAGTTAAGTACTTCTACTATCCTAGAAGTGACTTTAAATAAGATGATGTGAATTTTTGTACCTTAGAATACGAGCAGTGCAAGTCAGCGTCACTTCTGAGACGCTTGAAGTGACAACATTTTAGTGCACGTATTCGAAACATCGAAACATCTTGGATGAAAATACTTCCAAGATGCTTGCACTGCTCATATTCTAAGGCACAAAAACTCGCCATCATCTTATTTAAAGTCAATTCTAGGGTAGTGGGAGTGCTAAAAATCTTATTCGCTGAAATTTAGTTCTGGATAAAAACCAGTTCGGCAATACCATAGTGCAATTAATTCATCTTCTTTCGACAACTGTAAGTCTACCAGCTTGGAGGCTCCTGCGAATCATGCCCCAATCCATCAGCGCGCTCCAATCACAACCAAGACTACCGTAACACCCATTCACACGAACGCGATTATTTTCCGCCAGCAACTGGAAGCGGTTTGAATTTCCCGCGCGCGCAATTTTGAACTCAGGCACACTGTGTGCAATGACACGATATTTCGAGAACCGTAATCTCTCCTAATCTATCAAATACACTTCATTGCTGCTACACTAAACCACTCAAGCTCTGACCACATCGTTCTACTAGCATCCTCTTTTGATCGTCTTTCTGTTTTTTCCTGAATATTCCATCGAAACGGCGACCTCTTAGGTGAGTTTTCACATTTCCCGAGTCGTACTATTTGTGGATGCGTCTTCATTTTTTTCCTGCTTCTATTTCCGATCTCATTCTATTTCCTTGTACATGTCTGCATGCAGCTTGCATAACCCCTTCACATTTGCAAATTGCTTTGTGCCTTAGAGAGTCATCAGCTTCCCCTCGTGGTTTCCAATTATTCGCAAGGAATGTTGAGCACGCGAGCGCGCACCGCGGAAGCTGCTTTCCTGCTCCTGTCGTAGATCCATATATACACTAAAGTTTGTCCTTAAGGCACCAATAGATAAGTGAGATCACGAACATGAGGCGAGAAACTAAGGTACAGAACGACAGCAACAGGATATCAGTAGTTCTTGGTCAGGCAGGGCATCGCCCTGAGCAGAGAGCTCGAGCGTCCTGTCCTCGAGATAGGCAGATGATCGACTGTCGTCGAGATTGGCTCGTCCTCGCCTAGCCGTCACGCTCTGAAAGTACAGCCATGAGTCATTCCACTGGAATACCGATTCCACGCATGAGACGGCGTGGCTTACACATCCCCCCCTTATCAAAAGTCCGTCCCGGACTTTAAAAGTAGAGACGGTACAACAAGAAGAAGTAGCTCATCAAGTTCTTCAATGGGAGGGTCATAGGTACTGCTCTATGGCACTGAGAGGGATGACGTTGAGACATGACGTTGAGACGTTGGCGTTGAAAGAGTCGGCCCATTCGAGGACGCGACTCCACGACGGAATAGTGCGGAGAGACGCCGCGTGACCAAAAATGAAGACGCCGTGACGGCAGCGCGACACCGCGACGTTGAGACGACGGTAGTCATCAAGAAATTCGCCCGAATCAGGAGAGAAATCGGTCTTACCAGGAAAGGTCAACAGGTCAGCCTGGCCTTTTCCAACGAACTGCACACCGTTGTACGCGTCTTGATACAGTGAACTCAAATCTACGTTTAGAATTTGCGGAACGATTTTCTGAGCGGAGTTATGGAGGGTCTCATCCCAGCGTGGTCGTTCCACATGCTATCGCGAGGAAACGTGGAAGCGTCTTTAATTTATGTATGGAGTCATGCTGAAACGTGGTAGTAGAGCGCAACGGGTAGGGAGCGGGTTTCTTAGGCGAGACGTCGTAGGATCAGTTCTGGGGCAGACGCCTTTTTTTGCATTTGTCCAGGAACATAGCCGACAAAGCTTCTGACATCTCTGATCGCCTGCACTGCCTTACAAGGAAACCTGCAATCAGTTTTTTTTTCCGAAAGTGTAGACCCATTGTGGCCTGAAAGAGTGTTCTGCTTGTACCCATCGTAACACGTGTCACAAGGGTTCTTGCAATGAAATATCATCATATTCATGTCCAGCGGGTTAAATGACCCCGGGACAAGTCTCTAGCCGAATCTGATATTTCGAGCTCACTTGGAAAATCCAAGGCTGTTCCATGGGTAATCAGCAGCAGATTGGAGATCACCTACCATCGATGACTGGTCTCGGAATGGGATTTCCTCCCGATAGTCAAGAAAATGATGCAGATGGCACAAATAAGTAAGCCAGGTACTGCTGTTTGCAAAAAGACATGACTGAAGAGTTATTTCCGTTTGAAGACCAGTCATCACCAGTATGCTGGTCGTAGTATCGCTGTTGGCTATCAGTCAGCCATGACTAACCATACCCCGTTTTTCGAAGTTGAGTCAGAAGCTCAGATTTTGCTAAGGTGGCGTCCCTAGGAGTTATTTGACCCCCTCAACACGAATATGATACCTGTTTTGCGCGAAGAGCGCTGTTTGTCGCGCTACATGTGCCAACGCTTCGGTGCCATCGCGTAGGAAGAAAAACAGTAAAGAAAAACCTCAATAACTCCGCTCAGAGAATGGTTCCGCAGATTTTGAAGATAGTTTTGAGTTCATCGTCTCAAGACGGTTACAACGATGTGCATCTCATTGCAAATGGCCAGGCTGACCTGTTGACCTTTCCTGGTTAGTGGTAAGTAAAATGACTACCTCCTTTTCTCTGCCTTGGACCGAGTCCACGGTGGTTAGTTCGATTTGTAGCGCGGCGAGAGCTCCTTTCATATTGTTCCCTGTAAAATGTAATTAGACAAATACTGGAAGCGGGTATGCCTTTGCCGATGAGCTTATGGATAAAGCTTCTGCACACGTCAGCCTCAGCGTCATTGAAGAAGGACTTGCTGGGGGCGCGACTCGAATGACCCACGATGTCCACAAAGATGGAAGGGACATCGGCAGTTGGGAAGCGCATGCGGTCCAACAAGAGCCGCCGAGCACGCGCTGGAGTGCCACTCACGAGAGCTCCGTCGTAAGCGATGCGGTTAGGGAGCTGTACCAGCGTGGGATGGGACCTAAATGTGGTAACGAGCGGCGCGACGGGCACCGCAGGCGCGTTGAGCAAAATGCTCATGACACTGCGAGCACCAAAGAGAGCGGGGTTGGACTCGCGTGGACACTTGGCGTGCGGGGCAAGCTGGTGCACTTCGCCAATGTAGACGTGCCGCGCGTCTTGTAACCGAGCGATTATGGTGAGAAGCGCCGGTTCAGGGATTTGGGACGTTTCGTCCCCAATAACGCAACGGAAGGACTGAACATAGCGCTTGAATAACGGAAGGACTGAACATAGCGCTTGAATATCCCGGTTTTACCCTCAGTCGAGTTCAAGAGGGATGATGTGGTCATACAGATCACATTAGGGCGGTGAATCCTAAACAGGAGGCTGACCATACGCTTGAGTGTACGTGAAACGTACTGCTCGGCGATCTCATACTCTTGCTTGTCGTCATCCGACATATCCGGTATGAGGTCGGGGTCATCGAGGTAGTCCTCGATGATCTGACGGCATTTCTTGAAATCGGCACAGAAAGAGCGGTCCTCTTCGTCGAACTGATCGCGGTACACATCTCCGAAGGTCTTGACGACCTTATTGAGATCAATCGCGGTAGGGGTAAGGTTGTCAGCGGCAGCGGTATCCGATCTATGACGAACGACCCTAAGCATTGGAAAATCGCCGAGTGACAGAAGTGTTTCTGTGAACTGTGCGACCGCTGCGTTAGTAGACGTCGTTACGATTGTAGTTGTATGAGGGTCAGCGGAAAGGGTCGCGATCAGGGCTCCAATAAGGGTTTTACCTGTGCCGTAGGCAGCCTGGATGGCTACGATCGGCAGCTGGACGGAACCGATGCGAACCGCATCCCTCTGGCCCGGGGTAAGTGTGACCCTCCGGCCAGGAAAGAGCGGTCAGCGTCCGAGGCAGGTGGGACATCGCGCAGGAATTGTTCGTCGGAGGTGCCGAGCGCTCTATTGGAGAAGATGATGTCGACGATCTCTCCGCCCCTAGACCGTGGTGTAGAAGAGGAGAAGATGCGCATGCGCGCAACGAACTCGTATATGGGATTGGCCGCTGCGGATGACTTCATGAGCCGGACCATTATCTGGGCCGCAGGGACGTCGTCCACAGTGTAGCCGTGCTGGGTGAGCGCGCGATCAAGAGGACCGTGGGACCATAGGAACGCTTGCACACGTCCAAATTTTCGAGATGGGGTGGGCCACGACTGCGATGATTTTGACCTGTATGAGGTTGTGAGCGTTGTAGACCCAAATAACGGCGTGGCGACCAGGGAACCAGCCGGCTTCGGAAGCCATGTTGGTAAGACGAAACTGGAGCCGGTGCGGGAACCATATAGGGGTCGTTGCATAGGCGACAACCGTGTGAGTCTGTCGGTCACCATCGACTGCATTGACAGCGGCCAGGGCCGAGCAGGCGGCGCTGCAGAGCTTAGCGAGCTTGGTCCTGGAGGCTGTGGGGTCAGTGTGATAGTTTTTAACTGGCCTAAGCGGTCAGCAAACCACTCGCTATCTGCGGGAAGGGGTAATGATACCGCGAGAAGCATTAGTGCATCGGCAGCGACGGACTAAGTCGGCAAGCTTTGTGCGGGACGCAAGCGACACAGGTGGCTCGGAAAAGCGTACAGCTGCGGAGACATTGTGACGCGTGTGAGCTGTGATGATGTCGTACTTGGAGAGATTGCCCAGAGGAAAGTTGGCGATCGTGGCTGAAAAGGTCACAGGCTCCGGGCAGCCCTCGAATGCAGCCTTTGCGTGCGTGATGCGGTCGCGAAACTAAGGAGAGTACCATGCCGCAAACAAGCTCTTCCTGAATATGGGGAGGCACAAGAGCGAAGTGCGCTACTTTGAAGAAGTATACGCACGAGGTAGTAAGTGCGGTAGTGCGCGGTCGGGAAGGCTGCTTCAAAACTGCCTGCAGGGACTCCAGGGCTTGGCGGGTGGGCTTTACATCGTACACCCAAGCAAAATCTTTGATCGAGACCAAAGATTTGTTGAAGCCACTGCCACCTTCGAGGATCTCGATGGCGAATTTATCGAGGGTGATGCAGTGGAGATCCGGGCGGTCGGGCCTGACGGTAAAGAAATCTTTGGCTTCTAGAACTACGCCGGTGCCCCAACCCGTGGAGACAATCTCGTAGAGTACGTATACCATTCCAGATGGGCGGTACCAGGGCAGAAGGATGGACTGACATTTCGGTTGGCTTAAGGTCGCCTATATCTCGCTCTTTATATGTGCCATCCAGGAGAGCGTCCAGCACCTGTTTGGAGCGGGCGCGAAATGCTATCGTATCCTCCAGGTGCTGGAGCTCAATAAAAGGGACTTCCGTTGGCGTTCGATCCGAACGAAAGACCACCTGAGGAAATAGGGACTTATTGAAATTGTTCATGTAGCCTGAGTCAGGTAGGTGACGATAAATGGCGGTGTCAAGGGTTGAGCGTCATCGGGCGAACACTGTCCCGTAGCAGGTGAATGGGGCGGGGATAACCACATAAGCCCACGGATGCTGGTCAATCAAATAGTGGGAGAAGTTCTCTGGCGTCTGCGCCGGCAGCTGGCTAGTATGGACCTGCGGCCAGGGGGCCGCCACGCCGCGGAGCGCCGCGACCTCGTCCGCCAGCGCCTCTGGCAGCAGGTGCGCCACGAGCAGGGGGGTTGGGTGGGGCGGAAGTACGTGCTGCCGACCTCGGTGCGGCGGTTGCGAGTGGAGCCGCGATGTGATGAGGAGGAAGAAGCCGCCCTGCTATGATTTGAAGGTAGGGGATGGGTCAGCGAGGATCTACGGGGACCAGAAGACGATCGCTGAGCCTTAGCTGGGGTGACGGATGGAGTGGGTGACAAGTCCCTGACCCGAGAAGAAACCTGAGGAGGGGGTTTCACGGATGCCGCCACACTGGGCTGTTCCATCGAGGCGGTCATGCTCGCTAAGGGCTGCTCCTTCGCAAGAGGTGAGAGGTCCTGTGCGCTGCGAGCCTTGCGTAACGACGCCGGGGAGAGACTAGACGACTGGAGAAGATCGGACGCTTGAAGATCCTGTGAGCGAGAGTCGTCTGGTTGACTCGCAGGCGGAGTCGTCGGCTGATGGGCCATGAGCGAGTTACCGGCTGTAGTACCTGTAACAGATTCCGGTAGCTGTGTGGGATCGGTTTCGGCTAAAGAAGAATTTTCACCAATGGGCTCCGAAGTGTCCATTGGGGAATCACATGAAATCTGAGTATCGGATGCGTCGCATCTAACGCTGATAATGTCAGTAGCGTCAAGAGCCTGTTCGCTAAACATAGAATATTCATGAGATGCAATATCACGGCTGTCACAAGAAATCGTGGTTTCGGATGCTTCGCATCGAGTAAGAGAATACCTGGGCAAATCGCCGGGAGGCGACTCCTCGGGAGGAGGTTCGTTGTCCATAAGGGCACGCAGAAAGAACGCAAAAATGAGTTGTCGGGTTTACTCAAGTTCTCTGAAAACGATGTCGTGAGTTGAGGGTGAGGGTACGAAAGCATTATATGCGGCAAAGCGATGGGGGTAAAAATGGAAACGAACGTAAGGAAACAAAAAAACGAAAAGCAAAATCAAAAAACGAAGCACTTTAAACGAAGGAGAATCGGATGTAATAAAAACCATGGAATTAGTGAAGGCAAAATTGCGTAAAGGAAGCGTGATAGTGGTGTGAGGAGCATACAACGTCGATGACATTTCTGTCGGTCTAATCAGCTAGACGATCTGATGAATTGAGGCGACACGAATCGATCATGAAAGAAGGAAAACAGGGAGGACTGGCCCAAAGCAGTCTCACGAAATAAAGAAATAAAAGTTCTGAGTGGCGGATCAGCCGATCAAGTAGAAGTACGTCGAGATCTGAAACGACTATTGTAGGAATGACCAGGCAGCGGGGGCTGCGGTGCAGTGGGGGGCGGTACTGTATGCCGATGACCAATGACTGACTCATCAGCGGCGTTCGCGGCTGCCAATGCGAGTTATTCGACTTCTGGCAACCATGGCATGGTAAACACGGGGCCGGAGAGCAGCTGGCACAGTTTGACTTGGTTCATGTGAACCCGTTTAGGCGAAGATTGGGGTGATGAGATGCTAACGATGGTGAGGTGGGGGGGGGTCGACTTCAATGACCCGAAATTGGCCTAACCAAGGGTAGGTCAGTTTTTGCGAGAGCCCCACGGTAGGTGCTAGGTCACGAAGGAATACACGATCTCCCACCCTTATAGTGAGCGGGTCCAGATGAGTGTTATCGTACTGCTGCTTGAATTTAGCTCGTTGGCGGTCGTTGAAGTGGACAGCTGATCGCCAGGCCGCGTGAAGAGTAGCAACCAAGTTCTGAACATATAAAGCTGTATCTTCAGAAGAGAAAAAATGCGTTTGGGAGTTTCTCTGAATAAGTAAATCAATATTGAATACTGGGTCCCGACCAGACATGAGGAAGAAAGGGGCATTGTTCGTGCTGGAATCGATCGATGTTTTGTTCATAGATGCACATACTGCCACGTATTTCCAATCCAGCTGATTTTGGTTGATGTACGTGCGAAGCATGTGATGAAACGTGGCGAAGATCCGCTCGCAAGCGCCGTTGCCCTCATGATGGTAAAGAGTGCAAAAATACCTGTTTATGCGTAGGAGACGTCCCACTTGTGCCATGACCTCCCCTTTGAAGTAGGATGCATTGTCTGAAATAAGTTGAGTCATAACGCCGAACTTCAGTATGCACTCGGTGACGATCGCGTAAGCTACTGTAAGTGCAGTGCAGTCTGGTAGAGGGACTGAAATGACGTATTTGGAGAAGTGGTCCACCATGGCTAGGATGTACTTATTGCCAGCCTCTGAAGTGTGGAGCGGACCGGTAAGGTCGACGTAAACCTCATCAAAAAGTGCGCCCCTGACGACGGGGATGAGCTTTTCGAGATTTGCTCGATTGGGCCGTTTACGTTGGCGACGTTCGCAAGCGCGAACGAAGGCCAAGATATCTTCCGACATGTGCGGCCAGAAGTACTTTCTTGAGATTTTAGCCAGGGCCTTGTGCCAGTTAAAGTGGGCCCCCCCTGATGATGGGCTGAATGGACCGCAAGAAATACAGTCTCCTTCAGTTTCTCAGGAACGACGAGACGCTTGCAGCGAAACGGAGAGTTGGGCGAGGAGCGATCGTTATAATAAGGACACCCGTTTTTCCGTATGGTACACTTGTCTGCTATTGCCAGCCATGCTGGCTTCTGCCATGAGTTTGCATGCCTCTAATGACACAAGAGTGTGAGTCTCTGTATAGTTCTGATAGCGGGCCCCAAAGAAACTGACCGAATACGTGGTAGATGACGTGACGATCTTACACAGCGAAGCGAGTTTATCATGGCGCTGGACATTCGGGCGGTAGATGTGAACTGTCAGCGGGCGAAGTGTCTCGTTCAGCTGTGGCATTATGCGAGAACAATTGTAAGAAGTTGGAATGCGGGCTAGCGCATCGGTCGGGTCTCATGGACAAAGCCACGCTGACAGCAGCTGAGCCTCGCTCATTCCAAAACAAAGAAGCATACAAATGGGCAGGAAAACCTTTACTTGAGGCATAGAAAGAGACGATGGCGACGAAGATGAAGATGAATATTGCCCAAAAAAGAGTTCGCCATTTCATTAAGTTTGACTAGTGCGTAACTCTGGCATCGGCAGTTGTAGAGCCAACTGATTCTCGCGCAAGGAAATAGAAAGTGCCTTAATTCGTTCACGCCTTCCAAAAGTTCCTGGTCACTATTACGACGGAAAGAGGAATTAGAGAGGCGAGAAGAAGAATTAGGAAGATTACGATCACAAGAACGACTTCGTAAATTGGACATACCTGTATTTTGACGAGCGGTCCTGGGAGAAGGACAGTCGCGAGATAAGTGTCCTCTACCTCCGCAATTGTGGCAAGTGGAAGTAGCTGACGACTGGCTAGAGTGGATGACGGATGAACCACTCGGTCTCTGGAATGAACGAGGTGCGTTACGGTTCGTGAAAGAACGAATCGGCCTGCCCTACCTCGGCCAAGAGCTGCTCTACCATCTGGGCCTTCGCGACAGCCTGCTCGAAGGAGGCTGGATTATCCAGCTTGACGTAGTAACGGATATCGTGTCGAAGTCGGGCGACAAACTCTTCCAACATGCGTTCCTTCCGAGTAGCTGAGTCCTGACCAGCTGTAGCCGCTCTAACTAAAAGGAGTAAACGACTAGCGAAAGTAGAGGACGACTCATTTGTCTGTTGTTGACAAGAAGAGAGCGATTGTCGTGCCATATATCGGTGTTGAGCACCCTCGAATGATTGACGCAGATGAGCCACCACCTTTGTGTAGTCGTCTCGTTCCTGTTCGGAAAGCTCCTCTGCTTTCTCTCGAGCGGCTCCATCTAAATAGCCAATTAAAAAATAGGCCTTTTGCTGGGGTGTCCAGGTGGTAGATCTCATGCGCATAATGTCTTCGAGGCGTTAAACCAAAGCGAAAACTGCATGGGATCTTCCCCTGAACCAGTGAAAGGAACAATTTGGGGTATCGGCCCATCCGGGCTAATGGAAGCAACTAGTGGAATAGCATTAATCCGCTCACCGACTGCGGCGGACAAATGGTTCAAATCAGCCAGTAGGGTAGAGTCCCCTTCATTGATCCTCTGTTTGAGTTTGGATGTTTCCTCCAAAGAGTCGTTCCTTGCCTCCGCAATGGCGAGTACCGTCGCGTCGCGCAGAGAATTGGCGTCCCTGCCGTGCACGTTGGCGCCGTCATCCAGGTGAGCCAGGAAACCTGCTAGATGGTCCGACGCGGAAGGCTCCGTTGCACTTCGAGATGTCGGAGCGACCGCCCTGGAGTCCGCCGATTCAGCTCGAGACCGGGTGATCGGACCCATAGAAGCAAAACCAGAATACCACGACGACCGTTGATAGCACACACGATGAGTACTAATGATGACTCAGTGCCAGTGCTCAGTTACCAGTTTATGTAGCGGACAGTGCAAGGGGGCGGAGCCAACAAATGAGGGGGCGGGGCTACAGTAGTCCGGAGGTCACTTTAAGTTTATCGGAAAGGGGACCATAAGTGCTCGGAATGTTGAAATGTTTTGGGACAATCCTTTCTTTGAACGAAGTTCCCAACAGATGGCACGTATGTAAGAAAGCACTTGATGAAAGAATTCGTAGCTTGCGTTGTCTGAAGCTTGATCTTCAAGGTAGATAAAGAGAATGGCTTTTGTAAGGACAACACACTGCCGGGGGATGGGAAAAAACAAGCGGTTGAACCCGTGCGGTTAAGAATGTTCTCGCGCGGAAGCAAAACATGACAAGAACCACGTTTGAAAGCATGGGAAACTGTCCTTTCTAAGGACGATGAGTTAGAGGACAACTAGCCTGTCGTTTCCTCAAAGAATTCGAAACTGGCGGAAATGGTACAAACAAGAAAAGAGTTGAACGATTCTAATTGGAAGTACTGCCGGGAATGTTCACAATGTCCTGGGGTAAGTCCCGCGGCGACATCGAGAGAATTAGATTACAATCCCCTCCGGCGCCAGTATCTCGATTGCATTTATAAGTGTTTGGATAAATGTCATTAATTGTGCCTCACCAGGTACCGGTGGAGGGCACTTGAAGAGCTTATCGTCGTTTGATGACCTGTCTTTGCGAAAACTTCGCCGAACGGCAAACGGCTCGGCTGAAATATAGAATATAATGGTGAACGTGTTAATAGTGGCTGAAATACCTAAAGGAGTCCCCCCAAAAAAATACGTCCCAAGATGGTCTACCAACATACGATGTTTTCCGCCTTGAGTCGATCACCGGGGCGAGAATTCCGAATGCCTGGCTACTCACCGATTGCCGAGTACAAGCGGCCGTCTTGCACCGGCACCACCAAGCTAGGCAGCTGAAATCCTTACCTGCCTCCCCAAGCTTCCGTGGTGAACCACTCGCTGCTACCAGTAAGCGAGCGCGCACCACGGAAGCTGCGTTTCCTGCTCCCGTCGTAAGTCCATATATTCACTAAAGTTTATCCTTAAGGCACCAATAGATAAGTGAGATCACGACGTAAATTACAACTGCAGCCAGCATATTATACCGAACATGTCTACTACATGAGGCAAGAAACTAAGGTACAGAACGACAGCAACAGGAGATCAGTAGTTCTTGGTGAGGCAGGGCATCGCCCTGAGGAGAAAGAGCTCGAGCGTCCTGTCCTCGAGATAGGCAGATGATCGACTGTCGTCAAGATCGGCTCGTCCTCGCCTCGCCGTCACGCCCTGAAAGTACAGCCATGAGTCATTCCACTGGAATACCGATTCCAACCTGAGCCGGCGTGGCTTACAGTTTTCACGCTAACCTCTTGGAAAACCGCGAGATGTCCTGAGGAAGTGATTGAGCAAAAGTATTGTAGTCCTATGTCTTGTTGATTCCCCATGCTCATCATTCATACTAGATTACGAGAGAGAATTTCTATCTTTCATTCTCAGCCAGCAACATTTCCAGGCTTCTCGAGGACCTCCACAGGATTCACCTGCTCTTTGTACACAGCAAAAGATACAGGCGATGATGTGGTGGACTGACTTCTTAGAACATGGATGCGCGCGGATCCTGTTCCATGCGGAAGATGTATTAAAAACAAACAGGAAAGAAAAAAAATTGTGAATGGCCGAGACTCAAGGAAAAGGAAAAAAGGAAAGGAAAAAGAAAAAAAAGCAGTGCAAAAATGACAATATGATGATGGCCACAATGTTTTTGACACGCTCAAGTTTGACTCGCCGCTGAATCTACAACAGGGAAAACAGTTTAGCTGGATTTAAACCGCACTGAGTCTCTAGGAGATTCAAATTGACCTTGGCTAACATGCAAACAATGAAAAAAGGCAAAGACTGTCGAAAATTCACTAGTGAATAGATTCAAGGAGATGGGAACGTACCTACGTGACAGCCGAATGGAATATGCGGGGCAAAACAGGAATTCAGTAATAGAGAATACTAGAAAACTCATTAGTGGAACCAGCAGTAGTCAGCTTGAGTGGTTGAGTCGCAGCAGCAATGAAGTGTATATTATAGATCAGGAGAGATTACGGTTCTCGAAATATCGGGTCATTGCACACACTGTGCCTGAGTTCAAAATTGCGCGCGCGGGAAATTCGCTTCCAGCTGCTGGCGGAAAATAATCGCGTTCCATTCACACGGACTCCCAAATCTCTCTTGCGCGGCCCAGTGTTTCTCTGGAACGCAGCGGTTCGGCGAAAAGCTTTTGATACATATCGACTGGCGGTTGGCGAAGAGTCTGGCGGTTGGGCGAAAAGGTTTTGATACGAATCGACGGGCCTTTCGACAAACCTCGACGTTTTTCGCCTTCGACGAAATGCTAGCTCGATCGCCCCAGATTCGCCTGCGAAATCGATACGCATTTACTGCTTTTCGCCGAACCACCGAACCGCGGCGGTTCGGCGAAACAAGCGGTTGGCGAGTCGATGACTAATTTTTTGCTTTTCTCCAAACCGCCTTGTCGTGAGGGTCGCAGACTGTGAACAATGCCTAAACTAGCACTTTTTCGTGCGTCTCGACCCTATAAACGGATATGTGGAGTACCTTTAAGGCGCTGATCAAAAATATAACGATCATCATGTTTCCTATGGATCCATAATGCATTTGTATAGAACTCGTTATCTGTTCTTCCTCCTTTATTGGTTTTATTTTATTTTATGTTATTAGGCAGTGATTCTGGATGATCACGCGCGCCCTCTTATTGAGAGATAGCCGGCGGCTAGCCTGCAGAAATTGTCGATTCCAGAAGCGACCCACACTTCGCCCATTCCTGACTTCACTTTCCATTTCTATGCTTACTTCTCTTAGTTTGCAGTACTTCTACTCTTCGGCTACCATCTCGCATAATCCATTTTTCGTCCTTGCTTATTAGTACTTACTTTTGGCCGTTCACAGTCATTTGTGGCAATCGGCATGTCACAGCGTGACTAAGGTATATACCCATATGTAACATCATGCGAGGCTACTATCAACTTTTTTTGACGTAGTTTGTGCCCTTTTTGTGTTGTGACTTGGTTGTGAAGGATATCAATTGACTGAAGTCCCTGGAGGAGTTCACCAGCTGTTGACATCTTAATGGAGTCTTGTCCTCAAAACACACTCAAAAACCCAGTTTAGCGTCCCGAACTTCTCGCAAATGCACGCAAGAGTAGTTCCGAAAATCTGAGTTGCTACGAAGACGGCGAAAGATGTGCACGCTATCACGTGTGCGGTATTCAAATCGGGACCCAACTATTCAACGTCGCAGTGTGTTGTGTCAACTAACTAGAAAATACTCAGCGGAAACGCAGTTGAGGGAGACCACGCGACAGCTGCAAACACTGCTTTCTTTTCGTCAACAGTCGACCGCGGCAACTGTGATGGGGAATAAGGAACCTTTCAGCTGCGTCTGCACCAAATACATACTACTAAGTATGCAGTACTTTAGGCACAATGCCGCAACGTGCATGTTATAAAGTAGACGTTAACATAATTCGAGTAATAAACCACTATAATTACAGCGGAATTTTTGGAAAAAACAGTGAACTTCGTTCCGTTGCAGGACCCTCGCGCAACTCGCTTCATGAAGCCGAAAGGACAAGCCTGAACCCGTGGTTAATTGGAGGGACGCACACACAGCCCCTCCCCCTCCGAACTACGTTCCGTAGCCTGTATATAGGGAGGACGTGGCTGCGTACTTTGTTTGAATATGGTTTAGGATGCGTTATTGGGTTGTTTCCATCCGAGAGAACTGTGAATGCTAACTAAATTATTCCGAAACTGCTATCTCACCAAGGGCGTTATACCTTACTTTCGGATAAAGTATAGTCTGGTTCGCTGCGGAGGCAGCGGCGTGTCAGTCGAGATGATTTTGGCGCAGTGACAAATCGTTCTCCACCAGCTGTTGAAACGAGCAAGTTAGCAGACCAAATAATATCGTTCGTATCAGCCGCTTTCCACCAATTTTTCTCGCACACCCGCTTTAACAAGTGCAGAGAACTGGTTCGGCGCCGTGGCACACTCTTAGGCCGCGTTCATACATGATGCAGAAATGCGGAATATGCAGAACTGCGGAATTTGCAGAAAGGAAACATATACGTATCGATCTGAAAACTGCATCTCTTCAAATTCCGCGGAATTTGCCGACATGCAGAAATGACGGAAAAAGAAATGATAGGGATCGATTGATTCTTCCCTGCCGTCGTGCGGAATTGGGAGACATGCAGAATCTGCAGATTCCGCACGACGGCAAATTCCGCGGAATTTGCAGAAATGCAGAAATTACGGACAAAGAAGCGATAGGGATCGATCGGTCCATCCGCATTTCTGCATATTCCACGGTTTTTGAAATCGATAGACATATTTTCTTTTTCTGCAAGTTCCGCGGTTCTCCCGATTCCGCAGGTCTGCAAATTCCGCAGTTCTACACATTCCGTGGTTCTGAATTTCGGCATCATGTATGAACGCGACCTTATGCCTGACACGCCCCTTCCGTAGCGAACTAAAGTGCAGTCATGCTGTCATCATCTCCGTGATATGAAGAGCTCATGCGCCTAATTCAAGAGCTATGTAGGCGTAATGAAGTGTGCCCCCATTAACTATGTTGGTGAACTACGACTCAGTTACAGTTCCCATTTTAACGGATCGTATTCTTCAGGTTGAGCATGTCGAATGTCACGGATATGTCAGCACATGGTGAGCAAGGTTTTCTGCTTCCGTCTGAAAACCCAAGTAAGTTTCTCTATAAATTTATTCATTATGAATAATCATCCATCCATATTTCTGTGCACAGCACATGTACAGTCCTACTGCGTTTGCCTGCAGAAATGGACGCCAACGTATTTATGAAGAGGGAGGACCGCTCCTCTGCGCTTCTGTGACTCTTCCCCCAGACCAGGCTTAGACTTCTGAAAACAGACGGTCAATGTCGCGAAAAGGCTGCTCTGTAAGAGTTACCGTGGCGACTCCGACTGTTTGCGCTCAGAGCCAACCCTCGGCTGGGGAAAGAAACGTAAAGGCCCTGCGCGGTAATGACGTACCCCCAAATACCAGGAGCTGTTCGATCCTACACACTTGTGGAGGAACATGAAAAATCGGACGCATTCTGTGTGTACACGTGGCTCACAGGATGGAGCGAAGGCTTTGCTGAAACGAGTTCTCACTTGCTGAGAGTTTCCACTTTTCAGCTTCTCATCATCACCTCTCTCATCATTTGAAATTTAGAGTGGCGTTGTGGAAGAACTGCACCTCAAAGATACTCTTAAAAATGAAAGTTGTGCGCCGCATCGGCCGATGGGTGGGGCCGTCGCCACTTTGCTAGAGGGTTTTCTCACGCTATTTTTGAGCTACGAAAGTGGTACATCCCCCATGCTTGCGGGTAGGGCTACTATGTCCAGAAAAGCTGGCTGAGCATCAAATGAATGCGGAGTGTGCCTTTGAGAAATGAGTCAGTTTTCTTCGCTCGTGTTCTTTTTAATCAGAGCAAGTGTAATTTAATTAGCATTTTTACAATTGCAAAGTTTCATAGCGGTCAGAGGCAAGATGACTATGCAGAGGTGCGCAGAAATACCACTAGGGAGATATCTAGTGATTTTCTTATCGAACCAGAAGACATTGTATCAAACAGTGGTTGACGTATAAGATCTCCTCAGTAAAGTTTCAGGCTCTCAACGTGAAGAAATCGAGGCCACAGAAGTAAGCGGAATTCTTCTCCTCATAATGCAGTGATATGTGCGGTTCTATTATTTTTTCGTTTAATTTAGGAGTTGATAAGGAAACTTCGTGAATCTGCGGAAAGGCTGTCAGTAATCAATTCCGGACGGCATGCTGTGTTCAATATAATGAAAACGATCACTCAAACACGCGACTCATTCATCAAGAACTATGGTAGGATTTCACACACATTTCATGGTTTTCATTATTGTCATAACTTACACTTGCCTTAACGTTCAGAAATTAGCAAATTTCAAGTCTCCCTTATTTGTGAACTTTAGGATTACCAGAAATCTTTACGAACGTCATATGTGGTCATCTTTGACTGTATCTCTAGTGCTAATCACCTACAGTATTATCTTTCCTTCGCTTTACTGTTTAGCTGCGGCATATCTCGCTAAAGAACTTGATGTTTTCGATTATGAGGTGGCTTTTAATGTACTTGTTAGACTTTCTTGATCCGTTCGGATTGAAACATGAAATGTTGGATGATATTCTGTAAAAAAACTCACTCTTGGCTGCACAAATTAAGAAATTGAATATGGAAGTAGTTTACTGACCCAAATCTGCTCACGTCCACAGAGGCTGTTCCGTTGAAACAGTAGCGACAGTCCGTATCATTTGGCTGGTAGGTAAGATTCTTCGGCATCAGCTGAGAACATTTCTGCATCGCATTTATGCACACGCTTCAATTCAGTTTTTGAATCTCAATGAAGGTTATCACAAGAGCGCTGAGTTATGGGCAGTAGTCAAACCACGGAGGTGTTCGAGTCGTCCGTGGTCTAACTTCTGCCCCTAACTCAGCACTCTTGTGGTAACTTTCGCATCACACACTGCAGCATTAAACAGCAGTTCCCTCCACATTTTGTTTTAAATTTCGTACTGTCCTAGGTGTCATGCTGTCTAATGGCTACGTTCCTCCAGTAGAAGAACTTGCTTCTGTTAATCTTCTCAACGCAGGACTCGACGTATATCTCAATTTCTACAAAATGGCTAAGATGAGGGATCTGATGTTCGTCCGCTCTATAATGGAAATGGAAATTCCTGTGAGTTAATTGATGTTCTTACTATATGTATTAGTTTGTCCGGAGAGTTCTCAGCGTTTTGGGTGGTTCTTTAAACGACCGTAACTCTTTTAATACTCATCGGATTTAATCGAAATAGGCACCAATTCGAATCAGCACACTTTTGCCAATGTGACAGCAGTCGAGAAATCTCATCAAAGTAAAAACAACTGGGTGGTCGAGAATTAACGAAATCCACTAAGGCTTTTTTGGCCTGGTCCTGATTGATGAAGTATTTTCCAGCAAGGGAGTTCTGAAAATGTTAGAAAAGGTGATCGTTTGGCGAAAGGTCAAGAATATGGCGTTGGGTAGAACTTCAACCCCCCAATTCGTTCAATTTATGGATAGTGATTTGTGAAACGTGTGGGCGGGCGTTGTCATGCAAAGTAATCGGACCTTTCTTTTTAAGTGTTGGCTGCATCTGACAAAATTTTCGGTACAATTCGTCGATTTCTTCACCAGCAGGTTCTGCTGTGATGGTTTGGCCTGGTTATAAAAAGTTATAGTAGATCACACGCAGCCGATGACCACCAAGCCGTGACCAGAATCCTTTTTTCGTGAGGGTTCGGCTTTGAAACTTACCTCGGTGGTTGGTCGAAATCCAGCCACTGTCCGGAACTTCTCCTGTTATCATACATGACCCATTTTCATCACAGGTGACAAAGTGAAAAACAGGTCGTTTCTGCTGAGCAAAAGCAATGCAAAGAGGGACCTCGAGACAGGTCCTGCCGGTCACTCCGATTGAGGGGCAGCCCAATTGTCGAGTTTTTTTTCACCTTCCCAATGGATCCAGACCATCTGCAACAGTGGGTTTGCCAAGGCCTAACTCTTCTGCTATCTCTCGAACTTTTTGGGATGGGTCAGCCTCCGAAATCCCCTAAAATCCTCGTCAGATATTGCTTTAGGTCGACAGCTATGAGGTTCATCTTCAAGGCTAAAATCTCCAGAACGAAATTATTGAGCCATTGCCGCACAGTACTTTCTCTAGCACTGCTGGCCCCACACCTGGTTAATTTGTTGAGCTTTGTGTCGATTGCGGATTGCGGATTGCCCCAGTCGGAGAAAAAAATCGTTCGGAGTACTCTTTTTACATGCTTGAAAAAAATCTTGAAAAAAGGGTTCATCAAGCAATGGTGAAACGGCAATTATACCATCAGATAGCGCAAGAAATTCTCTACAGGATATGCTACTGAGAACCAAGGCAGAATGAGTTTTTAATCAGCAGTGAATGTAAAAAAAATAGGCGCCCGAAACGCTGAGAACTTTCCGGACAACCTAAAGTTCGCTAGCTAGGTCTTCTAGTGTATGTGCGTTTGTGTGTGCGTCCGTCTGCTTGTTAAAATTTCATAGCGCTTTTCTCCGTGAGGCTGCGTGGCAATACTTTGTGTCAGCCTACGCCAGCGTACGGCCAGTGTTTCGAGCGTGTCGACCGTACGCCCTACCCTAAGAAAGTAAAGGTATCGATCCAGCGTACGCCACCGCACAGCGGCGTTTCGAGCGAGTGGGATAGGTGTCGATCTCGTATGCCAGCGTACGCCAGCGTCCACCAGAAGGAGTGTGGAAGAAGGGGGTAGCAGACTGCAGGATTAGGCGTAGTGAAATCGCGGCGTTTGCAACCGCACCGTACAGTTGCTGAAGCGCTAAATATCTTGATGCGCAGTCCAAAGCAGTTGTACAATTTCATGGCTCTTTATCCGTCTGCTACCCTCCTACTTGTCTATACTCCCCACTTCTGGTGGATGCTAGCATACATTGACCTACGCTAGATTGACTCAGACGCTTTCCTAGTCGCTGGCGCTGGCGTATGACACAGACGCTTTCCTAGTCGCTGGCGCTGGCGTACACTTAAACGCTCAAGACACTGCCGCTCGTGGGTGTACGCTAACGCAATATATGAACGCGACCAAGCATGGAACGTCGATTCCAACTAATGATTTAGAGCGGGACGGGAGCATTATTGGTGGGTGACAGGGAATGATAAGTGCTGATAAGATCAGATAAGGGCCTTGGAAGGGAGGGTCACCAAATTCGTAGCGCAGACTACAGCGACAGTGGGCGTTGTTTCCGAGATGTGATATAGGTATGGGACAAGAACATTATTGTTGGGTGGCAGGAATGATAACACAGGGGGCCTTAAAAGTGGTGGGTCACCATTTTCATAACTCGCGTGACAGCAGCGATGGGCGTTGGTTCCATGAAGTGATATGGGGGGCTGGATGTGAACACACTGATGGTTGGCAGAAAGTATAACAGCTAATAAGATACCAAAAGATCCGTTTCGCAGAGGGCGCTTTCGCCATTCTCGCTTCCATAAATGTGTGCGCATGAGTATAACATGGATATTTGCCATTTATGTGCAAATTATTAGTATCCCGTTAGTCAACGTTATTCTACTATCACAATTTTCGCGCAATTAAGCAAGGCTGCTACTGAAAATTGATTTCTATGTATAAGTAAAAGACATGATCGTTTATATGATACTTAACTTTAGCTGTGGTGGAATTTTTCTCCGATTTGGATCCGCATCATCCTCATAGTGAATTCATTAGGTACACCCATAGAGGGGACGTTTAGCGCTACCCTGCCGTCGGATTGCGTCAGCGCCAGAAACAGGTGCCAGAGTTGTGATCAGGACCATCGATTGGCTCTATAGAAATAGTTTCGACCGAAAACAATTTTTCGACTTTTTCGAAAATTTTTTGACTCTCAAGAAGTGAACGCCGAAAGCTGTCTGCCAGTAAGGAGTGATAAGAGCCAACAAATATATTCGCGGAAGTTGCTTACCATTTCCACGAAATCTAGGATGTAAAGGCAAAACTCTTTCGACCGCTAGGCTGTATTGTGTAGTTCGCTGCGGACGGTTGGGCGTGTCAGGCGGGATAAGTTTGGCGCGGTGCAAACCCCGTTTTTTCACTAGTTGTTAACGCGAGCAAGTGATATGACTGTATCACATCGTTCGTATTACTCGTTTTCCACCACATTTTGTCACATGCGCGCTTCAGCAAGAGGGAATAGAGCGGCTTTGACGGTGTGCACACTCATACTGCGTGACACGCACAACCGTCCGCAGCAAACTGGAGTATAGGTATTCCCAGCAAATGGTGAGTGTTCTTAGAAGTGTGATGAGCGCTGCCCATTGGCAAATGATCGTTAATGAGGAGAGAAATGGACCAAGCGTATTTTGAAGCATTTAGTCAGGCTAAGTGTTAGAGGAGTAAGTGTGCTGCGCGGGATCAAATACAGAGAGAATAGTGAGCAGCTTTACTGACAGCCGATCAGGTAGCAAATTGCAGCTGGTAGGACCTGTGAATCCTTGCTTGAGCTCCGCCGCCGTCTTCGTCCAGCCGTCCACCAGTTGCTCCTCCGTCGCTTCTGCTCGTCGTCAATCGGCTCGCCTCGCGCTCGCTGAAACCAAACCTTCACTAGCGGACATCGAACGATCAGGCTGCTACAGTGTTCCCATGTTAGCTTAAGTCTCCTGGACTTACACCTCCCCTTTATCTACAAAAAGTTTTTGCCCATTTTGCCTACTCCCCTTATACCTCCCCTTTTTACCCAAAAAGGGTGGTGACCGAAGAGGACAGGCGAAGCAGGATGAAAAAAAACGACTTACTTCACTTTGACGATAAATATTCGCCCAGAGACGCTGCGGGGATGACCGCGTTGTTTGCGTGGGCCCATGTAATGATGGTGTTCCAATAGGGCACCGCTACGAGCTGATGGCCGGGGGCGACTTGACCATGTCCGCACCGAGTGAGGGCGACGTTCATGCGGCGAGGGTCGTCCAGAACCTCCGAGCCTTCAAGGTCGAAGTTGACCATGGTGGCGAGGAGAATGACCACATCCTTTTCTCGACCTTGGACTGCGTCGACAGTGGAGAGGTCGACCCCGTTGACGGTTGCAAAATCGGCGGGGCAAAGATGCTGCCCCTTGTAGAAAGATATGATGCAGGTGATGGCGGCCGGAATTCCGCGTCTCAGGAGGCGGTGGATCATTGTCGTGCACAACACGGCCTCCGCATCGTTGAAGTGGGAGTAACTGAGCCTTCTGCGACGTAACGGTGACAACGACGAAGATGAGCGGAAGCTGCACGTTCGGGAACAGTATAATGTCCAACAGCATCAGCCATGGCTCCCACTACGAAGGGCACCGTCGTAGACCAGGTAGTTCTATTAAAGCTCGGATGTGCCCCAAAAATGGTGATAAGGGGGGGGGAGGGGCTGACATAGGAACGGCACGCGCACTGGACAGTACATCCATCATGCGAGGAGCTCCAAACCTGACCGGGTTGTAGGGGCGAGAACAGCGTGCATACGGCTCCAGCTGATGGACATCGCCGATGTAAATGTGGTGAGACCTGTGCAGGCGGCTCATGATGGCGGCAAGAACGGGTTCTGCCACCTGCGAAGCTTCTTCGAAAATCAGAAATGGTCCAGCCGGCCGGTGAAATCACAGCATTCCCTGTCGAGTTGAGCAAAGACGACATGGTGATGGTGACGATCTGCGGAGCGGCGTACTTGAAAATTAGCTCAATCATTTTAGCTGAGCTCCGACACGTCCGTCTCCAAGATGAAGGCCTTACGCTCGGATTCAGAGAGGTTCATAGCTTGCTCGCGGTCGTGCATAAACTCCTCGTAACGCACACGGCCCTCAAAGGAACGGGTGTATGCAAGTCCTTCCTCCAATGCGATCGCTGAAGTCCACCAGACTCTTGAAAACCTCGTGTAGGTCGACCGGTGTAGAGGTCAAATGCCACGTTTTCGGCGACAAACCTGCACACGCAGAGATCGGCGAACGCATCAGGAGAGAGAATGGTTCCTGTAAGTTGTGCTACGGCTGCGCTCGTTGATGCGGCAACAATAACGCGCCGGCCAGCCGATGCTTGTTGTGCAGCTATGTAAGCCCCAACAAGTCTTTCCGGTGTCGAACACCGCCTGGATTCCAATTATGGGAAGAGCGGCGTTCGCGATTGCGAGCGCCTTTCGCTGATC